TCTTTTACTTGTAGCTTCAGCTGTATCCAAAATATAGAGTTGAGCAAACTTCCAAGAAACACCATCTGAAGGTTGTAAAGTTCCAGTACGGTGATAAACTTGTCCGTGTATTCTAAAACACTATGGCTATCCTGGTGGTGATGCAATATTTGCACCCATGGAAGCAAACGCAAAAAAACTATTTATGGAATGAATATTTTCCATGAAATTTGTACCGTCAGAATCTTCGTTTGTCATTAATCTTTTTAAATATGCCGGGTAATCTGGAAAATGTATATCATTTGGACAGACTTTCCCTTTGCTACAACACCGAGTAAATTTCCCATCGGATGGTTTTTCATCAGAGAAATTTAGTGATAGGCAAAATTCACATCTAACAGTCATTCCACCACAACTATGGTTGAAAATTGCATCCTCATGTACTCCATTTTTGCTGAGAAGGCGCCGCATTCTGTTGCAGGTGCCGCCTTCTTTCAAGATCAGACACACGTTGCTCTTCAGACATTTTCTGTCGATAACGCCGGCATCTTTCAGCTGCAGAACTACATTGTATCAACAGTTATTCTTTAGACATAGTCCCACCTCTCTATTGTCACGGTCTGAGATGGAGGTGAATGAGAGTCCTGGCTGTCAGGCTGCTGAGAGCTGTCTGACCAACAGCTGATTCTGGCTGATTCTGTGGGGGTGGGACTTCCTCCTCCCTGCTGTTGGTTTCCACAGCTGTGATGAGGAAGCTGGGGTGACAGAGGGAGCCATGCCCTCCAAGCCGCCCTCTCTCTCGCTCTGCTCTATGTCCAGTGGCCTCCTACTCTGCCAAGTCCTCCAAACCCCCCGTTCTCCGCCCACTCTCCTGCTCTGCTCTCCGCTGGCGAAGGTCCTGGGAGCCCGAGGGCGTGACTAGGTGTGGCCAGCCTCACCTCTAGGGGCCGGCAATGGTCCCGGGAGCCTGCAGCTGCCATCACCTCCCGGGGCGCTTGACACCTGTGTATGCAAATTAACCCACCATCTTTGTCAGGTTAATTTGCATACTCCTGATTTGGTTGGTGAGTGTAGTGGAGGGATGGTTAATTTACATGTTTCTCTTTTATTATATAGGAAGTTGAAATAATTTTATAATAAACATTCATATATTCGCCTGCTAGATATACAGGGTGTCCCAAAACAATGTATATACACTTTAATAGCCTTTGGCTCAATTTTGTTAATGAAATGTATTTTAATGAACACTGCCTTTATAATTATTCAAAGTGTGTGTATACATTTTTTGAGACACCCTAGTTTTGCTTTATTACATATTTATCTATTTATCCTCCCTTCTATCCATGCAACAATCTACCTATTATAGATCTGTTATTGATGTGTAGTTCAAAATAATTTAGAGACAACAATATATTTAACCCTTACATTCCCATGCATAATTTGTGAGTTTAATATTTTTTACAGTTTTTTTAAATTTTGAGGTAAAATTTAAATATAGCTAAATGCATGTCTTATGGGTACCAACCAACAAATTTTGATAAAAGCATTAGTGTAACCCAAATTTTTTAAAAGATAAAGATCATTACCGTTACCCAGAAAGTTTTCTCATACCTCGTCTCAAACCCAACCCGCACTTCTGGGGCAAGTACTGTTCTGTGTTTTTTATGACTAGTTTTTCTTCTTTTATAACTTCATATAAATGGAATAATATAGTGTGAGTGTGTGTGTGTGTGTGTGTGTGTGAGAGAGAGAGAGAGAGAGAGAGAGAGAGAGAGGGTATTTTTAGATCAGGATAATTTCATTGAGTTCAGAAAACATGTTCTATATGATGCCATACTCTTGCTTTGTCCCCTATTATATGGCAGTATTCATAAATGTTGTTAATGATTATTTTCTTCTTGTTGGTTTTATGTTTCTGCATCTGTCCTTTCAGTTAACCTCATTAGTCATTGTGCCGTGCCAGCACAACCAAGGGTTTGGTTGAGCCTGAGGGGGGGCGGCGAAGGATGTAGAAAAGACAGACAATGAGAATAAGCTGGGTCTAGGTGGATCTTCCTGTGCCTGGCTGAGGCCACAGAGAGAGATCCAGACAGCAAGCTGAGCCTTTATTTTATAGCCAGAGGTAAGCAAGGTAGTGGTCACCATAGTTATAATGTTCTTGTGAGTTTTACTTGTTTTGGCAGCACTTGCTGCATCTCCTTCAGCCCATTAGCTACCTAGAAAAGATCTGTGGAGCTTCATAAAGTCAAGCCTAATTACGCTAAGAGGGCTGTGCCCTCTAAGCTGGGACTTATTCGTGGCTTTGCCAACAGGTCAGTCCGAGGCTTAGCCCTATAGCCACTCCCTACAAAGTCATGTTGTTTGTTTCTTAATTATTTTAAAAATCTGTTGGTTCATATGTATCCTGTTCTTCATATTTTAATGTTATCTTAAAATTTTAATATAACAAAATTAATTCTTTGTGGTAGACAGCTTTATGAGTTTTGACACAAGCATATGGTTGGGTCTGTATTCACAATGAAGATGCAGTTCCATTAACTTAAAATCTATATAATAAAAGCCTGAATGACCGTTACGGCGAAATGACCAGAACGAACAGTCTCTATGATGTGCACTGACCACCTGGGGGCAGACACTCAATGCAGGAGCTGCCCCCAGTGGTCACTGCGCTCCCACAGGGCGAGCACCGCTCAACCAGAAGCCAGGCTCATGACTGGCGAGTGTAGCAGCAGTGGCGGGAGCCTCTCCTGCCTCTGTGGCAGCACTAAGGAGCAGCGAGCCGAGCAGTAAGGAACAGTGAGCAGGCAGGTAGTAAGGAGCGAGGGGTCCCAGACTGCAAGAGGGCGCAGGCTGGGCTGAGGGACTCCCCTCCCCCCTGTGCACGAATTTTGTGCACTGGGCCTCTAGACCCCTTAAATACCCTATTGTTTGTCAGCCCTTCCTCCCACGCCTTACCACTGGAAATTGCTGATTTGTTTTCAATCCCTATAGTTTTGCCTTTTTCTAAATGTAAAATAAATGTAATCATACAGTTTGTAGCCTTTTGAATGATTTATTTTACTTAGCAAAATGCATTAAGATTCATCCATATTTTTGCATGTATTAATAGTTGTGCCTTTTTGTTGCTGAGTAGTATTTCATTGTATGAATGTACCATGGCTTGCTTTTTCAAAGACATTTGGGTTGTTTCCAGTTTTTGGCAATCGGGAATGAAATTGCAATAACCATTGGTATACCTAAGCTTTTATTTCTCTTGGGCAATACATAGGAGTGGAATTGCTAGATTTTATGTAAATTTAGTTTTAACTTTATAAGATACTAGAGGCCCGATGCATGAAATTCGTGCATAGGCCCTCGGGACCTGGCTGCCCCGCCACCTGCCCACTGGTCATTCCAGAAGGTTTTTCTGGAAGATTGTTTCGCCATCCGGTCTAATTAACATATTAGCTCTTTATTATATAGGATAGGTTTTAAACTATAGATTCTACTTCTTTAATTCTGTTTAGGTTACTAATTTTCTTCTTGAGTGAGCTTTGATAATTTTTGTCTTTCAAAGAATTTAGTCATCTCATCTGTTGAATTTACAGGCATGAAATTCCCCAAATCCCCTTGTTTTCATCTCTTTGTTGTTGTTAATCCTCACTTGAGGGTAGTTTTCCATTGCTTTTCAGAGAGAGTAGAAGGGAGGGAGGAGTTGAGGGAGAGAGAGAGAGATCAATGTTAGAGAGAACTGGTTGCCTCCCGCATGTACCTTGAAAGGGGTGGGGAGGAGAAGCAAACCAGCAATCCAGGTGAGTGTCATTGACTGGGAATCAAACCCCTGACGTTTGGTGGGTGGGCCAGTGCTCCTAACTCTGAGTCATACCAGCCAGGGTCCCTGGTTTTCCTTTGTAATAATCTGTAGAATCTGTGGTAAAGTTAATATTTGAAATTTGTCACTTCTTTTTTTTTCCTGTTCACTTTGGCTGGAGGTTAATCAATTTTACAGATCTTCTCAAAGAACTAAGCTTTGGTTTCATTGATTTTTGGCTATTGATTTTGTTTTCTGTTTTGTTGACTTCCATTCTGATTTTTATTTCCTTTTTTTCCCTTTAGGTTTAACATAATATAGAAATTTTTTTTCTCTCTCTCTCTGGAAGTAAATTGACAGATTTTGGAACTCTGGACTCAATCTACATTGTGTGTGTGTGTGTATGTGTGTGTGTGTGTTTGGTTTTTAGGTGAGAAGATAGGACTTTGCTAATAAGATTTCAGAGAGTGTGACTGTTTTTCATTAGAAGGACACAAGATTTTCTTTCTATTTTGAATATTGATTTTTATGCCTGTTCATTTGACATCTGTTTCTAATTATAAATGAAGTATATCTATAAATTATGAAAGTACTTCAAATTCCCATGACTAGCCCTGTGAAATTTACCACACATAGAGCTATCAAAGTTAAATATGTGATGTCCTTTTAAGTGAGGCAAAATATTGTGAGAAATAAAATTCTGTTCCTGTCTCTAACCTTAGCAATTATTTAACCTAAGGACTATACAGTGTTTACTTGAACTCAGAATATAAAACATTTAAATCCTGAGTTCTTCCCAAATGAGTAACCATTAATTGAGATATAAGGTAGTTGTGGATTTGTTTTTATTTGGTGTGTTTTGATATACAAGATTAAGAAATTTCTGTTGTGGATGGAGTGAAATTTGTATTACTCTTTTAGATTACCTTCCAAAGCCTGAATTAAAATTAAGGAAATAAATTGCTCTACTGTTTGAGCATTTTACTTAAATAGTAAAGCAGATTTGATTTCCATTGTATATAACAATGATTCTATTTTTCAGAAATGAAATTTGCTTGAAAATCAGTTTTTCTTTCTAAATGCTTATCTTTTTATATATTCTTGAATTAGAAATATAGGTGTTATTAGAAATTGGAGTATTGCTAGAGGGATGTGATAATTACAGTACTACATGAAAATTATTTTCTTTATTTACTTTTCTAATTGTTTAATGTTACATTTTATCTTTTAGATCCTATTTGACCAAACTCAGAGATCAATTAAGGCACAGCTTCAGAACTTTGTTAAAGAGTAAGTCAATTGCAGTGAAGGAAAAAGTAAAGCATTTAGTTAATTATTACATATAGAAGTTGGTATCTTTGGAGAGAAATATGGAAGAAATAATGAATTACAAAAATATTAGAGCTTTTTTTTTGTTTTGCTTTGTGAAATGTATATTGCACTTTTTCCAGAAGTATTTTATATAGAATCAGACTTAATGCCTTATAGTGAATCATTTATGCTGTGAAAGATGTGTTCAAGATACATAGCTAGAATTGTTATTAATTAAATAAATAAATGTAAATAATCCAATGACCTTTCAAAATCAAAGCAAACCTCAAGAGTAGTTGAAATATTATCAGTTATTATAGTTGATATTAAATTTTGCATTCTCTCAATATGGTATTTTCTTTGAAGAGAAGTTAATATATGGGAATGAGTAATGAAAGTGCATGCTTTTTGCTACATATGAGCCTTTTGTGTCACATTCATTACATTTCTAAAAAATATCCAACTTTTCTGGTTTTCTTTTTTCACACTAATAATTCAGATTTCCTCTTTTAATTCCTGACTGAAAATTATATTCAATTACAGATAAAGTTGATGATAATACAGTATTCAGGATAAATTATAGATGTTATGAGCTGTAAATAGTGGCAGATCACAGAAATGTAAGCATTGCCATTTTAGTAGGTTAGAATTGTAATAGTGGAGGTGATGTCTTGCAGATTCTTTCTAAATTACTTCATAATAGGCTAATATTCAGAATGTCCTGATAGAATGTATACATGGCAGTTGATGGCTTCTTACAAGAGTTCTTTCTTAGGTAAACTTTATTATTATTATTTTTAAATTGTTTGTCTTCAAGTTATTTTGCCGACTTCCCTGATAGAAAAAGTAAAAGCAAAGTGATATTATATACTTACCTAAGATTATTAATGAAATCAAGGATTTCAGATTTTCAGACTATTGAAATGGATACTGTTATTCTTTATGGGTACAAGAATTCTTTTAGAAAGCATTATAAATTTGTGTTTTAAGAATACATTCATGTCCTTTGGGCCAGTGGTTCCCTTCAACAAGAAATGAATGTTGTTTCTTAAAGTGTGGTCTGAGACCACCCATAGCAGTAAAACCAAGGGTGTGTCTTAACACCCACTCCCTCCTCCCCACAAACACAGATTTCTATGATTCATCACAAAGACTAATGAATTGTAATCTCTGGAAGAGGAGATGACATTTGCATGTTAAATTTCCATTTTTAACAAGTTCTCTGTGGTGATTTTTATGTATACTACTACTTAAAAATCATTTGTTTAAATAATGATACATGCCCCTGAATTTGTTTTTAGGGGGAAAAATTAACTTTGCCTTTTATGTTTCTGTAATGTTAATTTGATAATTTATTTTCACCTCAAATTCATAGATCTAAGTAAGGAAATGTTAGGTGACTATCTTGGGAATTATATATAATTGAAAACAATATATATTGTAGTCAGAAGAACTATTGAGTGTTATTGCACAGTGAATCAAATAAGTAGAGGAACATAAAAATTAAATTCTAAGTGCTTTTGCTAAAATTTTTGATCAAGAAAATTTTATAAAGTTTAACTGTTTTTATTTTTTAGAGATCTTAGAAAATTCAAAGATGCCAAGAAGCAATTTGAAAAAGTCAGTGAAGAGAAAGAAAATGCACTAGTAAAAAATGCTCAAGTACAGAGAAACAAACAGCACGAAGTTGAAGAAGCCACAAACATTCTGACAGCAACAAGAAAATGTTTTCGACACATAGCCCTCGACTACGTTCTTCAGGTATATTTATTAAAAAATGCTTACTAGGTGGAGGGGGTCAACTGGGGATAAAAAGGGGACATCTGTCATACTTTCAACAGTAAAGATTAAGAAAAATGCTTAATGAACATGTCTTACTTTTGAGTGGTTGCACTGAAAATAATGTATTTTTTCAGTTTAAAATTAAACCAAAATTTGTGAAAAAATTCACTTGTTTGTATATCTGTCTCTGTGTGGATATGTATAACTCTGCTTGTGATTTCTTCCCCTTTAAGTTAACATTATACTTTCCTCCATTTAAAATGTTGTAAAAAGCATTTTTAATTGCTATATTTTATTTTGTGGAGTTGCTGTGTTAATTTAATTAATATTTGATTGAGACATTTTTAGTGTTGCCATTTTTACTGGCAGTAGTGAAAATATAGTTTTCAATAATTTTAAGTGGTGATAACATCTTTGCATACAGATCTTCCTTGCCACATTTCTGATTATTTCTTTAGGGTAGATTCTAGAGGTACTAAGGCTCACTGTATTGCCAAATGAAAAATATTTCTAGAAGTAGTATTCTCATGTTTTGTGTTAGGACTAGGTGCTGCTTTTTAAAACTAGAGATCAGTGTCTGGTAAGTTGCCTGGTGGTCTTCTGGTCCAAAGTATAATTGAAACCAATTTGAAGGTAATAGATCTCTAAAGAAATTTGAGAGAAATGTAAAATGAAGGCACACATTATACATTATTTCACATGTACATTATGTGTCCCTATAGATCATGGATGTTGTAAAACAGCAGTGAGTCCCCAGAAATTGTTGACTTAATGATGATCACAGAGTATTTCTTAAAGCAATACATAAATAACAGTATATAAGCTAGTGATTAAAAACTAATCAGATAACTTTGCAGAATAGTAGAAAGTGACTAAGATTTTTTTCTCTTAAGTTCCCGTTTAATGAGTGGAAAGTTAAATTTTAAAGGAGTGAAGTAAACTACCTTTATTAATGAAAGGCTTCTAGAAGAGAGTAGTCTTGTATGTTCTGTCTCCTGTTACCTACCTCCCATTCATATCACTTCCTGTGGTAGTATGAGTTCTCAGTCTTCCTATACCATTACACTAAAATGCTCATGCTAGTGTTATTCATTAGATACTTTTTAGTTTTTAGCCAACTTGACCGTTATGTTTTACTGGAAATTTAGGCCATACTCTCCTTGAAATATACTTTAATCTTGGTTTATCTTTAACCATTTTTAGATCATCATCTTCTGTTTCTTTTCCATTTCCACCATGGACTTCTCTCCTTTGCCCACCTTTTCACTCTCTTTTTCAGGTTTTATCTTTGTTTCTATTCTTTTCTGACTATAATTTCTCTGACAGTCTCATCATGCTCCCTTGCTTGAATTACCACCTTATAGAGATGACAAGATTCTTTTTTTTTTTTCTTTTCCACATAAGTACCTCATTCTTTTTGTGTCCAAAGCTTAAATCTTCTTCCTAAACAGCTTCTTTTTGTTCTTTCCTAACTGAATAGCAACACCCTCTTAAATCAAAGAAGTTCAGATTTGGAGAATTATATCAGATATTCCCCTCATCCTCAGCTACTATATCTAACAACCAAAACTGCCTTGAAAAGTTCTGTGTACCTCTTAAATCTGTTCTCTCACTCTTTTTTTTTAAAATATTTTTTTTTATTGATTTTTTACAGAGAGAAAGGGAGAGGGATAGAGAGTTAGAAACATTGATGAGAGAGAAACATCAATTCAGCTGCCTCCCGCACACTCCCTACTGAGGATGTGCCCGCAACCAAGGTACATGCCCTTGACCGGAATCGAACCTGGGACCCTTCAGTCCGCAGGCCGACGCTCTATTCACTGAGCCAAACAAGTTAGGGCTGTTCTCTCACTCTTGCTGTAGCCCTCACATAAGTTCTTACTGTTGTTTTTTTTCAATCTAGAGTATTAAGATGTTCTCATGCAGTTGATCTTTCTTGCATTGTTTTTACTACCCCCATTATTAGTTCATTCTCTGTTCTGTGGTCAGAGTTACTCAAACTTTTCCATGCAAAGTGAATTATTTTTGCCTCTGCCTCCTCTGTGCTGCACTAATATTGTCATACACATTGCTGTCGGAGCACTTAACCCATTTATTCTAATTATTTATTTATATGTCTTTTCTACTCCTAGATTGTATCCTTTCCCTCTAGTGTGGTGGTTGGAAAATAGGTAATACATGTTTTGTGAGAGAACGAATGGCTTAATTTTTTTTTTCTTAATCCTTACCCCAGGATATTTTTTTCCACAGATTTTTAGAGAAAGTGGAAGGGAGGAAGGAGGAGAAACAGCAATGTGAGAGAGACACATTAATTGGTTGCCTCCTGCACGTACAGTGAGTGGGGCAGGGATTGAACCTGAAACACAGGTACATGCCCTTCACTGGGAATTGAACCCACGACATTTTGGGGTATGGGCGGATGCTCTAAGCACTGATCAACATTGGCCAGGGCCAAATAGCTTGATTTTAAATTTAATTTGGGAAGGGGGATACAGCTAAAATATTCATTATTTTCAAACACATATAAATTTTCCATTTTCTTTGGTGTCCATCCAATAGTTTTGTTAAGAGTTCCAACTTCCCTTTAACTATTAGTTTGTTTGATTTTTCTGATGAGAACTGTTATGTCATTATATGGCCAAAGTGTTTTAGAGAATGTTAAGTAATAAATATCCAGATTTATAAAAGTTTTCATGATTTAGCTTCTCTAAATATTTGAATTTACTTTTTTTTCCCATTTGTTTTTTATTTGTATGTTTTTGTTTGTTTTTTGTTTTTAATCCTCACCTGAGGATATTTTTCCATTGATTTTTAGAGAAAGTAGAAAGGAGAGGGAGAGACAGAGAGAAACACTGATGTGAGAGAGACACATCAATTGGTTGCCTCCGGCATGCCCGGAACTGGGACCGGGACCAGGACCAGGACCAGGAACCTGCATCCGAGGTACGTGCCTTTGACCGGAATCGAACCCGGGACCCTTCATTCTGCAGGTTAACACTCTATCCACTGAGCCAAACCAGTGAGGCCTTGAATTTACTTTTATTCCCCCAAGTAAATGCTGTTTTTCATTGACAGGGCAAAAAAACAAACAAAACAAAGGCACTTTTAACATTTTTCAGAGTTTGAATAATAGGTTATCTGTAGCCTCTAATTTTACTTAGAATATTTGAAAGTTAATATTTTAGTTCTCAAAACTAAATAGGCCTTGAAAGAGATAAGCAGAAGAAACTAGGGCTTAGTTAAGCAAATATATTTGGGTATTTCTTGGTCTGTTTTTGTTTTCTGATCAGTGCTTTAAAATTATTTTATAAATTAACAGGCAGAATAATCAGAAGAACATATTAAAAAGGCAGGTATTCTGCAGTCTTTTGACAATATTAGTAAAAAGTGAATGATTCTTTTCAATGATTTTATTTTACTAAATTGATATATAATAACAGACAAAAATAAAATGTTTATGAATTTCTAGAGTTGGGAGACATACCACAAAATGCAAATTTCATAATTTACTGATCTTTTAGTAAGTTTAATCTAATTAAAATATTTATTTAAAATCTACTTAACAAATATTTATTGAGTACTTACTACATACCACTTGGAGAATAAACCTGGAAATAAGGCAAGGCCTTCATCTCACACAGCTACATTTTAGCTGGGGAAAAGACATACATAAGAAAATATAAGGGCCCTGGCTCAGTTGGTTGGGTGTCATCCTGTGTACCAAAAGGTTGCTGGTTGGATTCCTGGTCAGGGCACATTTCTGGTTTTCAGGTTTGATCCCCTGAAGGGGGTGTGCATGAGTCAGCTGATCAGTGTTCCACTCTCACATCAATGTTTCTTTTTCTTCCTCTCCCTTTTCTCTAAAAATTAATAAAAAAAATTTTTTTTAAATTAAACAAAAGAAGAACATATAAGGTAGTTAATGATTGCTATCCTATATAATAAAAGGCTAATATGTAAATCAATCAGAACGACCAGTTACTATGATGTGCACTGACCACCAGGGGGCAGACACTCAGTGCAGGAGCTTCCCCCTGATGGTCAGTGTGCTCTGTGGGAACACTGCTCAGCCAGAAGCCAGGCTCAAGGCTGGAGAGTAGAGTGACAGTGGCAGGAGCCTCTCCCGCCTCCACAGCAGCATTAAAGATGTCCGACTGATGGGCTTAGGCCCACTCCCTGTGGGCCTAAGCCCACAGTCAGACATCCCCCGAGGGCTCCTGGACTGCGAGAGGACATAGGCCAGGCTGAGGGACACCGCCCTCCCCCCCACCCCCCCAGTGCATGAATTTTGTGCACCTGGCCTCTAGTGAATAAAATAAATAGGGTTGATATACTAGAGAGAGTGTATGGGCCTACTTTAGACCTTTGTAAAGAGATAGTATTTAAACTGTCTTAACATGAAGTTCGAACAGCCAGTATGCAGGCATTGAGGTGGGAGTAGTATTGGGTTGTGGTTGAACACAAAAGGGGAAAGTGGCCCTGGCTGGCTTGGCTCAGTGGATAGAGCGCTGGCCTGCGGACTGAAGGGTTGCCGGTTCGATTCCAGTCAAGGGCATATGCCTAGTTTGCAGGCTCGATCCCCAGTGTGGGGTGTGCAGGAGGCATTCGATCAATGATCCTCTCTCATCATTGATGTTTCTATCTCTCTCTCCCTTCCTCTCTGAAATCAATAAAAATATATTAAAGAAAAAAGGGGAAAGTGGTAGAAAAGTAGGTTGGCGAGGTAGGCGGGGTCAATCACAAAGGATCTTGAAGGCTGTGGTAGGGAGTTGGAAAATTTTAAGCTAGATGGAACATGATCTTATTTACATTTAAAAAAGATCACTCTGGTTGCTGAATGGATTGTAGGAAGTCAAGAGTTGAAACACTAGTTCATAGACTATTGCAGTAGTCTAGAAGAGATATGATGGTGGTTGATGATAGTGGTAAAAGTGATGACAGTTTCATTAGGATATATGTTGAAAGGTCTTGATGAGCAAATCAGGTAAGAAAGGTGGGGAAAAGATGGAATTCTAAGAAATTTAAATATCTATCAAAATGATAGTTTTAGTACTATAATATTATGATTTAAACTCAGCCAATTTTTCTTTGAGATCAAAAATGGATTAGAATTTCATTGGTATGTTTGTCCTAATAGTTTTCACAAAAAGTAGGGTGAAGGGTGAAAATTTTGAATTTTGTTTTTATTTACTTTTTAGGAGAAATGTTAAATAACAACTTTTACAATATTGCATTATGGATTCGTTTTTAAAATAACGAATGATTAACCAAGTGTATTTTCCTTCAGATTAATGTCCTTCAATCAAAAAGGAGATCAGAAATCCTAAAATCAGTAAGATATTTATTGAAATGATGTTTTAAATATTTTAATATGAAATTACATGTACATATTTAAGTGTTTAAAGAAGCGTGTGTATGTGTGTGTGTGTATATATTTATTCCAGGTTTATAATTAATCTTTTTATTTATCTTTTTGTACTAATTATATGTCATCCACTTTTTTGTCTCTGTCATCTTAGAGTTATTTGTGTGTGTCTCATCACTTAATACACTGATCTCCTTAAATCAGACTTTTAAATATTTAAGATTCAGGGCATACATAGTCAGCATTTAGAGAATTTTTTCCCTAGGGTTGCTGATATGTATCAGCCTTTAGGTTTGTTCTTTGGTGTGCAGTTAGAAAACAAATAGGATGAAAATTAAGGATCACTTTTTTCCCCCTTAGCTTCTGCACCCATGTTGACATTGATTTTTTTTTCTTATTTTTTGTTTTAAAGTTAGTAAGTAAATGGGCAGGGAATGGTAGTGATATGGCATTACACTTTTATATTTTGAAAATCTTAGAAATAATTTTTCCTGTCTGACTTCGTTCACTGACACAATTTTTTTTTCTCTGAAAGGGTATACTTAAATTGCTCTTCATTCTTATCCCTATGTATATTTTTCCTAAATTTTGTGTATCCTATATAATAAAAGAGAAACATGCAAATTAACCATCCCTCCCCCCCCCCTCAAGCCACGCCCACAAGCCAATCAGGAGCGAGTATGCAAATTAACCCAACTAAGATGGCGGCGGCCACAGGGCTGGAGCAAGCAGGAGGCTTGGGTTGCCCCAGCGATGGAGGAAGCCAAGCTTCCTGCCTGCCCTGGCTGGCCCTCGGCTCCACTCAAGGCTACAAAGTTTCAATTATACAAGATAAATAAATCCCAGAAAAAAAAGAAAAAAAAAAAGAGGCTGGGAGCTTGGGTCGCCATGGGACGTGGGCAGCCTGAAAACGGCCATCAGCCCCTCACCCAGGCTGGCCAGGCACCTCAGTGGGATCCCTACCCTGATCCGGGACATCCTTCAGGGAAAACCAGTTGGCCCCCACCAGTCACCAGGCCTTTATCCTATATAATAAAAGGGTAATATGCAAATTGACCCTAACAGCAGAACAACTGGGAATGACTGGTCACTATGACACACACTGACCATCAGGGATCAGATGCTCAATGCAGGAGCTGCTCCCTCGTGGTCAGTGCGCTCCCACAGGGGGAGCTCTGCTCAGCCACAAGCCAGGCTGACAACTGACAGCACAGCAGGCCTAAGCCAGCAGGTGGACATCCCCCGAGGGGTCCCAGACTTCAAGAGGGCACAGGGACCCCCCCCGAGTGCACACATTTTTGTGCACCAGGCCTCTAATATAGATATATTTGTTATTTTTTAATCTGATAATTACATTTTACTTTTGGTTTACATCTACCTCCTCCGATTGAGAGTAATGTATGTTAGTTATAGGAAATTGGAAAATAAAATGCATGAAGAAATAAATAAAAATACTTATAAATCTTACCACCAAGGGAGAACCACTGTTAATATCTTGGTTTATATCTTTGTCTTTTTTCCTCTTTTTCTGTATGTATGTATGTATATGTGAACATTCCTCTATACTTTTTAAAAATTGCATTTAATTTTTTAAAGAAAATAGGAATAATTTCTGTATACTGTTTCATCACTTTCTTTTTTCACTAATACACTCCAAAATCATCAGATGCCATTAAATATTTTTTATGCAATGATGACTTTTGTTGCCAGGCAGAGCTCCACCATGCGAATTTAGGAGGGGTGAGCAAACTTTTATTTTTGAAGGGCTAGGTAGTAAATATGTTAGGTTTTGTGAGCAATATGGTCTGTTTCACATCTACTCAAGCTGTGCTGCTGTTATCAGAAAGCAGCCATAGATAATATATAAATGAATGACATGGCTATGTTCTAATAAAACTTTATGGACATGGAAATTTTAATTTCATATAATTTTCATGCATCATGAATTTGATGTCTTTTCATTTTCTTTCAACCATTTCAAAATGTAAAACCATTGTTAGCTCATAAGCCATCAAAATACAATTGGTAGATATAGTTTGCTAATCATAGGTTGCTGACCTTGAATATGCCATACATTAACTTCACTCATTAATGGATTTTTAAGTAATTTTCATGTTTTTGACATTAAAGTATAACATTATAATGATTGTTCAAATGAATAATATGATTATTTCCTTAGTATAAATAAAAACAAGAGATTACTTAGTCAAAGGGTATAAACCAGGGGTCCTCAAACTTTTTAAACAGGGGGCCAGTTCACTGTCCCTCAGACCATTGGAGGGCCGGACTATAGTTTAAAAAAAAATTATGAACAAATTCCTATGCACACTGCACATATCTTATTTTGAAGTAAAAAAACAAAACGGGAACAAATACAATATTTGTATTTGCATGTGGCCCGCGGGCCGTAGTTTGAGGACCCCTGGTATAAACACTTATTAGGACTTAAAAAAAATACTGTCAAATTTCAAGGGTTGCACAACATTTCCACTAGTAGTGTGTGCACTTAAACATTTCCCCATCTTTTACCAATGCTGGGTATTAGTTATAATTGGGTAGATAATGTGATATGATTGTTCAATTTTACTTTTATTTAATTCAAATGAATTTGAACAGTTTTTCCATATATTTTTTGTCCACTTGAGTTCCTTATTTATGTCCTTTGTCTCTTTATCTTTTGGCATGTTTATCTTTTTTATACTGATTTATAACCTCTCTTATGTATTAAGACTATTAACCCTTTGTCATGTGTTGTTTTCCTAGTTCATCATTTATTTTTTTAATATGCATATGAGTTTTGATGTGCTGGCATATTTTACATTTTTATGTAGTTGTAGCTATTAATATACCCCCTTTTAAAATATAATTCAGTGTTTTTTATAATATTCACAGAGTTGTTAAATCATCTTTTAGTGAGCTTTGTCTTTGGGTATTATTTAATTGTTTTTTTCTCTTTAAAATTTTCTTTTGAAGAATTCTTAAGTACTATGAACCTTATGATCTATTTTAGATTTCAGAGAATTAAACATGGGTCATCTTGCTAAAAATAACATGGTTGTTAGAGGATTCTTTTAATATTGATTATTTGATTGAATTGTTTATTTCTTTCTCATGTGCCAACTTAACTAATAAAAGTAGAGGTGATTTTTCTCTCATGTATAGGTAAAATATAAGAAATTTGGAAAAAAATCTCAATCCATTAATGACATTTTAGATTTTTGGAATGAGTAGAAAGAAACCTCCATAGCAAAGTCTGTTGACTCATTTTATTTTGGTTTCTTGAGCAAATATGAGCATTCCCCTACTTTGGATTGTGCTTGGTAATCTAGTAGGTTGTAAAGTGTTTGTGATGGTTTTGTTTTATTTTGAGTACTTCATATTTCTCCTTTTAATCTTTTAATGTCTTATTTTCAGTTTAAGTTTTTACCAGTGAATTTGGTTGAAAGTCACAGAGATATTTCATAGCGTACCTAGGAATTTGGTGGAGCTATTGAAAACTTGATTCTTCGAACTATTACTATGAAAATTTTGATCATTTGGATATAGTCCAAACAACTAAAATTTGGTGCATTGTTAAAATTTTGAGCTGTTTAGATATTTCTTTTAAATAAAAATTGTCATATTTGTAAGTATTTCTAAAACACTCTTTTTTATACATATTATTTCTTCTTAAAAATATTTTTTTATTCATTTTAAAGAGAGAGGAAGAGAGAGGGACAGAGAGATAGAAACATCGATGAGAGAGACACATCGATCGGCTGCCTCTTGCACACTCCCCACTGGGGATCAAGCCCTCAACCCAGGCATGTGCCCTCACCAGGAATTGAACTGGGGTCCTCTTGGTTCATGGGTCGACACTCAACCACTGAGCCATACCAACCAGGCTCTAAAATACTCTTTTAAGAAAAATGATCCAGTTTAATTTTAAATAGGTTTGATATTTTGGTCTCTTGTGGAATAATTTCAAACATTAGGTAGGATAAGGATTTTTAAGAATTTTGAATTGTTTATCTAAGAATTGATTTTAAAATGCTAATCTTTTTTTCTTCTATTAGATGTTATCCTTTATGTATGCCCACTTGGCCTTCTTTCATCAAGGATATGATCTATTTAGTGAACTTGGGCCCTACATGAAGGACCTTGGTGCACAGGTATACTCTTGATTCTTTGTTATACACTGACATATGAATTTTTAAAAATTGAGATATAGTTGACATATAACATATTACTTGAAGGTATATAATAAAGTGATTTTATACACACACACACACACACACACACACACAAAAGATCATCATAAGTCTAATTAATATCCATCACTCCCTATAGTTTTAAATCTTTTCCTCTTGATGAGAACTTTAAAGATCTATTCTCATATCAACTTCAAATATATAATACAGTATTATTTACTATAGTCACCATGCTGTACATTACATTACAGGACTTATTTTTTTATTTTTTTAAAATATATTTTATTGATTTTTTACAGAGAGGAAGGGAGAGAGATAGAGAGTTAGAAACATCGATGAGAGAGAAACATCGATCAGCCGCCTCCTGCACACCTCCTATTGGGGATGTGCCTGCAACCAAGGTACATGCCCTTGGCCGGAATCGAACCTGGGACCTTTCAGTCCACAGGTCGACGCTCCATCCACTGAGCCAAACCGGTTAGGGCTGCAGGACTTATTTTATAACTGAAAGTTTGTAGCTTTTGACCCTCTTTACCCATTTTGCTCATCTCCTATTCCGCTTTTGGCAACCTCCAAACTGCTTTCTGTATCTATGAGTTTGGGTTTTTTAGTTTGTTTGTTTTTTAGATTCTACATATCATATGGTATTTATCTTTCTCTGACGTATTTCACTTAGCATAAAGCCCTCAAGGCCTATCCGTGTCCTAAATGGCAGAATTTTTTTTTTCCCTTTAAAGAATAGTTTATTGATTTTTAGAGAGGAAGGAAGAGGGGGAGAGAGAGAAACATCAATGTGATAGCACCAGAAACATCATCTATCCGATGCCTTTTGCATGCCCCCTCCCAGGAATGCAGCCTGCAACCCCGGCAATGCCCTTGACCAAGAATAGAATTGGTAACCTCCTGGTGCATAGAACTATGCTCAACCAACCAACTGAGCCACACAGGCCAGGATTCTTTTTTTTTTTCTTTTTTTTTTTTTAAATGGCTGAAAAATATTTCATTTCATATATATGGCATATTTTCTTTATCCATTCATCCATCATTGGACACAGAAGTTGTTTCCATGTCTTGGCTATTATAAATAATGCTGCAATGGACATGGGGATGCAGATACCTTTTTGAGTGTCTTCAGATAAATACCCAGAAGTGGAATTGCTGGAACATATGGTAGTCCTATTTTTATTTTTTGAGAAACCTTCATACTATTTTCTATACTGGCTGTATCAGTTTACATTCCTACCAACAGTGTACAAGGGTTCCTTTTTCTCTACATTCTTGCCAACCTTTGTTATCTCTTGTCTTTTTGATAATAGCCATTCTAACAGGTATGAGGTAATAATCTCATTATGGTTTTGATTTGCATTTCCCTGATGATTGGTGACATTGCATACCTTGTCATGCACTTTTTGGCCATCTGCATGCCTTCAATGGAAAAATGTCTGTTCAGATCCTTTGCCTGTTTTAAATTGGATTGTTTGGGTTTTTTTGCTATTGAATTATATGCATTCTTTATATATTTTGGATATTAACCGCTTATCAGATATTGGATTTGCAGGTACTTCCTGCCATTTGATAGGTTGCCTTCTCATTTTATTGATGGTTTCCTTTGCTGTGCAAAACGTTTTTAGTTTGATGTAGTCTCACTTATTTATTTTTGCTTTTGTTGCCTTTGCTCTGATGTTTGTATTTTAAAAGAAATTTAGCATATTAGGGAATTTAATATTCTCTTACTTAATGAAGAAGTTGGATGCTACAGCAGATTTATGTAGGATTAAATGTGTAACCAAAAATGAGATTAAAGTTAAAAAATTTTATAGAAAGTATATGAGAGTACTAAAAAGGAGAATTTAAAAACATAGTGTCTGTTTTACAGTATACATGATTTAGTTTTCTTTTTAAAAAAATATTTTTATTGATTTCAGAGAGGAAGGAAGAGGGAGAGATAGAAACATCAATGATGAGAGAGAATCACTAATTGGCCGCCACCTGTATGCCCCCTAATGGGGATCAAGCCCGCAACCTGGGCATGTGTCCCTGACCGGAATCGAATCCGGGACCCCTCAATCCATGGGCCGACACTCTACCCACTGAGTCAAACAGGCCAGGGCTAGTTTTCTTTTCTTACATTTGGAAAATTGAGTTACTGTCTTAATTGATTTTTCATTTGAGTTATAGCTTTTTGTTTTAAAAAATGTTGTATTTTGCTATTTTGAATAATAAAATTTTAGAAGTTTAAGATTATAGAACTTTGTGAACTTTTTCATTTTATATAAATACATGAACATGCGTGAATTATACATATATAAGACTATTATAGAAATTTCAGTATGTTCAAATTATTTTTGATACATGATCAGAACTTTATATTAGATCTGTTCTGGGACATTTTTTCTTGTTGATTGGTGAACTCTCCAGATTTAATAGTATCAACTTTTAGGTGATTATTTTCTTTTCCATATGGTTCTGGTTACTTTTTTGAGGAAAGGAAATTAAAGATGGAAACTAGAGTTTAGGAAAATGGGGAAAAAGGTAATAGTGGGATCAGAATTACATTCAATGAGCAAAAATATATATGGTCCATGCTCATGTGTGTTGGGGTGGTGTTAGGGAGGGATGGTGTACAGGGCATATGCCATGAGTTAGAGTGATACTGTGTTCTGCCTCTAAAGAACTTAATTTATTGGAAGAAACCAACAAGTTACCAGACTGTTATTCTCTGTGCTAAGTGCCCTGTCTGGGTATATAAATTGAGATTAGGTTTGTTTGCAATATGATAAAAAACTGAAAAGTAGTAGCCTCAATAATATAGAACTTTATTTCTCATATTTAAAGTCAAAGAAAGGTCTGATATGGTAGTCACTTGGTCTTCAGCCTGTTAAACTCATAATGTTCAGTACTAATAGAAACATGGGGTACTTCCTGTTGTGCTCCAAACTCTTTGTTCCTGATACAGGTCAAGCATCTAGGAGTCAAGACTGCTAGTCTTCACATCTCCCCAGCTCATACCTCCCCTAACTCTCCTCCATGTTGACAAATACTATTTTTCCTTAATACTTCTCCAACAGATTAGGAGGGGGAATTTTCCCTCTTTCTGCTGCAATAGCAGTGGAGTGGAATGCAGAAGCAGAATTTACTACCAGTTTGACAGGCAGAAAAGCATCACTTGCATTGCAGTACTGTGTGGAAGGTACATGCCCTCAAGTTTATAGATATTAGGTTGAATTTTGGAGGTTTCCCTGTACTGCACTTCAATCTGAATGAACGAATATTATTTATATACTATTCAATTAAAGGCTATAAAACCATGGGATAAGGATTATTCAGTATAGGAAACTATTGAGGACAAACATTTTCCTAGTGTAGCATGTATCAGCATTACCCATTAAATCAGTGTTATATGTCACTAAGGTATGTATGTATTAGATCCTATAGTGGAGTAGTATAGTTACTATCTAAATAAAGTATTTTACAGTAGTGACAGTTCTGTTTCAGTGTTTTCTTTGATTCTTTATTACTATTCAGTGATATTAAGAATCTGTGGCCAGAATATTCTCCTGTAAAAAAAAAAACCAAACAAAATAAAACAACCCCACATCATTTGTGATACAGAGTGAATAAAGGATCAAATAGTTTTTTTTAAATTAATTAATTTTATCTTTATTGTTGAAAATATTAAAGATGTTCCCCCTCTTCCCCCTATTCACCCCCTCCACTATGCTTCTGCCCTGCCCCAGGCCTTCACCACACTATTGTCTGTGTCCATGGGTTATGCATATATGCATATAAGTTTTTTGGTTAATCTCTTCCAGCCCCACCATCCCCCCTTCCCTCTGAGATTCATCAGTCTGTTCCATGCTTCTGTGTCTCTTCAGATAGTTTTTAAGAAGGCCTTTATCCAATTTAGTTTTTAAAGCGTATCAATTAAAGCATTTGGATATTTTAGTACTTTAACTTCCTCCATATTCCATTTATATTTTTATTTATTCATTTATCACACATTAATCAGTTAGAGGTGATGGGGGAGGGGGTGGTCGTCCAAAGATGAAATGACATTCATCACAGTCTAGAAGAGTCAAACCACATAATAGAGTATTTATAACCCAATTGTTTGTTATTCTAGCAAAGAGGAGTTCAAGAAGTCAGTGAATTTGTCTTCATACTGGAAATCAGATATTTCTCTTCATGGAAGTTCATTTTTTCTGATGGAAAGGAACAAGAAAGAAATGGGATTTTATGATTTTATTTTGTGATTTTTGAGCTTTAAAAAACACTTAAAAATTGGTAATTTTATACCCTGGTCTTAAGAATAATTACTACTTTATTACTATTTTTTAGCTTTCTTTTTTCTATGAATTATTTTTTCTAGCTTAGATTTGATTATAATATTAGGAAGCCAACTTGAAAACAGGAAGTATCTTATCCTGGTGAACTTCTGAGAGCTGCCATGTACTAGCTTAGCTGCTATTTTTTGCTATTGCAGAAAAAAAATCACCCGTGTATCTTCTTTCTATCTTTGATTGTAACTACCAGAATTGCTGAGTGGGTCAGCAGGCAATTGAAGCTGGAGTCATTTTCCTTGTTCAAGGAGTGAACAAGTTATCTCTGTTGTATTCTTAACCAGGCATCCTGTCACATTTGTTTGAAGCATGGTTATTCTTAGAAACATTTTCCTTAGAGTTATGGACCTTTTCAAGGAGGATTTGATACTAGAAAACAAAATAAAACAAAAACATCTCCAATTCAAAGTTATAGCCAAAATGCTTTCTTAAAGTTCATTTAAATTGACTTACTGGGACTATGCTTATAAAAATAAGCATACCGTTTTTTTAAAGTCTATATAATTTTCTCTTTTCCCCCCTTTGTAGTTGGATCGACTGGTTGTGGATGCAGCAAAAGAGAAAAGAGAGATGGAGCAAAAACATTCCACCATTCAACAAAAGGTAGCTGAGGGGAAAAGTTAAAGGATATTAATTTCCATTTTACTCAATTGTTTGAGTATTGGTTTTTAGCAAGATACCGTTGTGTTGGAACAAATCCTTTGAGTTGCTTTAATAATTAAATTTGTATGTGAATTCCTCCTTTTTTTGTCAAAAGTAAAATATTTTTCAGATGTTCAGGCATTTGTTCTATTATTCTTTTACATCAAAATATTTGAAATCCATGCTCTTGAACCAGTTTGCAAAAGCATCAGTCTGTTAGGGCCTTAACTAATTTAAAAGTGGACCTTAGTTAGACTTTAAAACACTATAGTTTCAGGTAGGCTGTTACCAATCCCTGTAAAAGTGTGTGTGTGTGTGTGTGTGTGTGTGTTGGGTTGGGAGCTGTGGGTGGGTAGGTAGGGTGGAGAACACCTCAGCATCAATGTGTATGTCTGGTATTATGGGCTTCCCATCTGGCAGCACTCTAAGGCAGCACCCCCCATCTTTCATGTGATGCTGAAATTTCACTTGCATTTCTTGTTAATTTGCCTAAGCCTAGCTAAACTGATATTGGAAAAATATATTTTTAAATGAAAATTTAAATATGAAACCAGTTTTTATTTATGTGTGCTAGAAGCTTTGAATATTACAAACCTGGAATTCAACCTAATAATATTTATATTATATAGTCAGTGATATTTTTTGTGTAGTAATCTGAAAACAAAAGGAGAGAATTATAGATTGAATATAATAATACAAGCAAATGACAAGATGCCTCTATCCTGTCATGGCAAATGCCCTAACTATGAAGGTGGTTTTCCCAGGGCGAGGCTTATTGATCACATTCCTGATTTACTAACCCCTGAGCTTTTCCCAGATGTGGGAAACTCAACTGCATAATTTGTGGTAGAGGAGGACTGTGTTTGTACTTGCCCCTAAAACAGCGGTTCTCAACCTGTGGGTCGCGACCCCTTTGGCGGTCGAACGACCCTTTCACAGGGGTCGCTTAAGACCATCCTGCATATCAGATATTTACATTACGATTCATAACAGTAGCAACATTATAGTTATGAAGTAGCAACGAAAATAATTTTATGGTTGTGTCACAACATGAGGAACTGTATTTAAAGGGCCAGAAGGTTGAGAACCATTGCCCCAAAAGGAAAAAAAAGATGCCTTCTAACATTGTTTTAAAGGAATCTGTTCCCTTGTTGTTGAGCAATCAAATCAACTTTTGTTATGGTTGATTTAGAATTTAAAATACCAGTAAACTAGATCTAACATAGAACATGTCAGTGGGGAAAAAAAAAAAAGAAAGTGAAATCAGTAATAAAAGTAAGGAAAATTTTATTGGTGATGGGTTATTAATACTCAAAGAGAAATATTGTCTACCACTCCATCTTTAAATTAGTTACCTCTAGCTATAGTCTAGTAAGACTAGCTCCATCTTTTGTTTTTGTTTAAGGTTAAATTACTTTTGGTTGGGTAACTTTCTAAAATGACATTACCATGGAAAGATTTTTAAAAATTTGGGACCAGTCATTTCTAATTAAAACAAGAGGTTATGATATTTGTGGAAACACAACTGTTTGCTTAAAATAAATTATTTGATTAATATTATGCATCTTTTAATGCCTTTCCCTATTATGTACACAATTCAGTTAGACTATTAAATCTAAAATTAATTTATTTGATTTTAAGTAATAGTCTATTACTATTTTCCTTTAAAGAAAGTAATGCTATTTTTGCTCATTATATGTATATACTTACTTTTTTTCTGCCCCTAAATGCTGACACAAGGCTGCATTACAGGTAAAATAAAAAGGGGGTGGGGGGAAGAAAACAAGATCCAGTCAACTGAAAATTAAGGGAAAGTATGTCTAATGTAATTATTTTGATTTTCAAGAATTGAAGTTGATCAATTAAAGAAATAAAGATGCTATGCATAATCAATTCATGTAAACTATTTTTCAAAATGTTATACCATTCCCATTAGGCAGCACTGTATGAGAATTCCCATTGCTCCTTGCCACCTCATTGTATTGTGAGAATTTTTTTTTTCTTTTTGCCTATTTTGGTGGGTAAATAGTGACATCTCATTGTCGTTTTAATTTATGCTTTAGTCACAAATGAGCTTGAGTACCTTCCCCTATGTCTCTAGTTACTTGGATATCCTGTTTGTGAAATGTCTGTTAGTCTTTTTTTCCCGTTTTTTCCATTAGGTTGCCTAACTTGATCATATTCTTCATATATTCTGACTATATGCTCCCTTTTAGGGTATATGTGTTTGTGATTTTCACAAGCTGGGTGTTTTTTTTTAATTCTTTTATGGTTTTGTATGTGTGTGTGTTTGTGTGTGTATCTTTTCGTGTATTGCTTAATAAATCCTTCCCAACCCAAGATCATGAAGATATATTTCCTGTATAATCTTCTAAGTGTTTGCAGGTTTGCCTTTTATGTTTCGATCTTTAATCCATCTGTAATTGTGTATGGTGTGAGGTAGAGATCCAATTTCCTTTTATTCTCACATTGATAGCTATTCAGTTATTAAAAAGTTTATTCTTTCCCTACTGGTCTGTGCTTTATTCTCTGTTACATATATCACATTTCCATATACATGAGGCCGGCTTCAGGTTCTCTATTCTTCTTCATTGTGTGTGTGTGTGTGTGTGTTAATTGTGCTAATACTCTGCTGTCTTAATTATTTTAGCTATATAGTACCTCTTATATCTGACAAAGTAAAGCTTCCTCTACCCTCTTTTCTTCAAAAGTGAATTGCCTAAACTTTGCATTTCCATATAAATTTTAGAAGTATCTTTTCACGTAGCATAAAAATCGCTTTTGGGAATTAGATTGAGAGATTGCATTAGAAAAATGTGATCAGTTTGGGGAAGAATTCATATCTTTATTCTACAATGTGTTCTAATCCATGAGCTTAAAATATTTTCTTCATTTATTTAAGTTTTCTTCAATATCCTTCAGAAATTTTGATAATTTTCTTATACATCTTGTTATTTATTCTTAGACACTTATATTACAAATGTTATTGTAAATATTATCTTTAATATTTTTCACTGTTTACTTTTGTACATAGTTGAGTAAAATTGACTTTTCTGTATTGATTTTATAACCAGTGATCTTGTTGTGTTCTTTTTAACACTAATTTGTCTCTGGATTCTTTGTGTACAGCTTTGGATGTCTTATCATCTGCAAATAATGATAGTTCATTTCTTCCTTTCCAATCCTTTGCTTTTTGTTTGTTATCTTGCTGGCTGAGACTTCCATCATAATCTCAACTCAAAGTGGTAATGATGTTCCTTCTTGTCTTCTTTGCAATTTCAAAAGGGAAAGCTTCTTCCTCTTATTGGCCAACCTTACTCTTGCCTTCTGTTCCCTGGGCCCTACACCAAAGCTTCAAGTTCTCCGATGAGTCAAATGTTTTTAAGGTGAAAGCTAGCTTCCTTGCTCTGCTTTCCTCTTTGGCTTCCATTTTCACTCAATATTTTACCTTTGAGTATTCCTTTCTGATTTGTCAGCTCATCAATATATTTACATGCTAATATATATTTTACTCAACATTATTAGTTACTTTCATTATAAAATAATATAAGCCTTCTCATTTTAAGTACTATAAAATATTAATTTGATATTCATAATAATGAAATTAAAGGCCTAATTTACCTCAAAAATATAATTGAAAATTAGAATACTACAACTGTACTACATTTTCAATGAAGTCTTATTTGATATTTTAGATAGGATCAGGGTTATTAAAAAACTGCTGATGTTACAAATGAAACTCAGTTATAACTATTGCTGACTTAATCCTGTCTGCATAATTATATAAATTATAGCCTCAAAGAAATTTTAAGTGAAGGAATTAAAGTTTCCCTGATTTTTTTCCAAAGAAAAAATAGAAAGAAATGTACTAATTCATTTACAGATTGTTTTATTTGATTATTTTGTATTATCATGTCCTCTTATGGGTTAATTTTGAGACATGTCAGGTGAGCTTTGTTTTTAATTCTGATTTTAGCTTACTTCCTTTTTCCATCTTTGTAGACTTTTAGGTTTGGAAGGCCCTTATTTTTTCTCACTCTGCCTCCCCTTTAGTGCAGGAACTCCATGTCCAGCAATCTTGGCAGGTGCTCATTCAGCTTTTGTCAAAATCTTTCTCAAGACAGAAAGTTTACTACTACTTAACAAGATAGCATTCTAATTTTGATCATTGGTCCAGAGTACTTTTGAAATTACTGAGACTGATTTTAAAGTTTTAAATTTGGGGATAGCAGCAATCTTGCATTTTTATCAGATTACTTTGGAAGTTTATCAGGAAAAAATTTAATTGTGGGATTTGTGATTTCAATATTTCATGAATCCTTGGGATAAATTTAAAGTTTGTATTGTATACAAGTGAAGATTAGAATGATAGGTTATGAATGATTCTATAGTCCTCATATAAAAAAGAGAACTCGACATGCGCACTTTAGACTGTCGCTTTCCTTTGTAACACTAAATTTTATTTTAGGACAAAATGCCTTTATCTTATTTTATTACTCCCATATGGTGGAGTTATTACTCCTATCAGATTAAAAAAACTACAATGATAGTAATATAATTAGAAAATAGTGGTAATACCATTTAAAAGTGTCCATATTCCCTTTTTAATAGTTAGCACACACATCACCATAAAATGTTGGAAAAAATGAAAACATTTTAAATATAACACCCTGCCGTAACCGGTTTGGCTCAGTGGATAGAGTGTCGGCCTGTGGCCTGAAGGGTCCCAGGTTCGATTCCGGTCAAGGGCATGTACCTTGGTTGCGGGCACATCCCCGGTGGGGGGTGTGCAGAAGGCAGCTGATCGATGTTTTTCTCTCATCGATGTTTCTAACTCTCTATCCCTCTTCCTTCCTCTCTGTAAAAAAAAAAAAAATAATAACACCCTGTATAATATTTAGTTGTTCTCCTTGTATACATATTATTTTGTGCTTTTAGTCACAGTGTGTATAGAGTTTATATTGTTTTGTTTTCTCTTTCAGAGTATATTTCATACAATCACCTGTGTTTTATGTCATCATCATTATAACAATTATTGCATAATAGTCCACTGAATTGAAATTCTTCAATATGTTGATGCATTCTTCTGTTATTGAACATTTAAGTCTCCCCCTTTCTTATGACTATTGTTGATGTAACTATCTTAATGCGAAATTTTTCTACCATTTGAGCTCTTTTTCTAGGATAAATTTTTTGTCTAGCAGCTTAGTCAAATCATATGAAATTTCTTGTGTTATTTTGTCTAGGATTTCTCCAGTGATGATTCTAAGTTAGAATATAATGTAGATGCTGCAAATGGCATTGTTATGGAAGGATATCTGTTCAAACGAGCCAGCAATGCCTTCAAAACTTGGAACAGGTAATATATTTCAAATAATAGCCTCAATTTTTCCATATTCTCAGTCTTCCAACTTTTCTTGTCATTTGGCAACTCTTTCCTTCATAATTCTCTAAATTCATAGTTCATGGTAATTTTCCTGAACCCAGTTCATTGAAGATAAGATGCCCTTCTAGGAAAGGGGACCCTAAGGAGCAAGTGAAAAATGACAACACTAACTTAAGCAAAGTTTAAACCAGGAAGCAAGGAGTTTTATAGTGATTGGTCTATACTGATTAGACCATTATAATAAGGAAATTTTCAATTTGAGCTACCCCTCATATTTGTTAGGAAATAGATCTGATTACAAATCATGTGTTGAATATAATGGGTAAATAGGCCAAGTGAACTCTTCCCCCCTTTGATTTCCTGTCCTATATGATGTTTTGTACATTTTCACTTAGTTGTTTATGAATTTTAAACAGGGTGATTCTTATCTTTGCAATAATTTTAATTAATGAGGAGTTTTAGGAAATGGGATTGTTCGTATGTGAAGTGTGTATGGTAGCTGGTGCTCCTTTATTCTAAACTCGATAGCTACCAGAAACTGCATTTTTTTTTTGCTAAATTTATTTCTATAAAATATTAATTCAGTAAATTTTGTTAAATGAATGAATGTGTAAAATATTTCATTGTATTTTCCCATGTATTAATATAATAAAGTGAAATCACTTCAGACATTAAGGATTAAAAAAAAGATTGGGTTGTCTCAGGATAATCCTGAATAGCAGTCATTAATTTTTTAAATTCAGTGATGCCTATCTTTTTGCAAAAAAAAAAAAGATAGTAGTCAGAACAGTTTTGTATTAATTAAAAGTTGTATTGGGTTCTAGTTAATTGATTTTCTATTATATTATAGTTGAATATATAAATTTTATTCTCTACTTAAACATAATATGAATTCACTTAATGATGGAGAAGATTTTACCTTTAAAAAGTGTACATTAGCAAAATAAGAAGAGTTTTTCTGGTAAGTTTAGTATACATTTTTGTTTAAATGGAAATGACCATGCTTGAATATTTAACATATTAAAATGGGTTCCTAGTGTACTTATTCTGATTTTTTGGTGAAGAGGTTATAGAGATAAAACATTCATTGATATTTTCAAATTTGAGTATTTCCCAAGAATTTGGTATTACCAAATGTTCAAGTGGTACATGGTGTGTTTTATTTGAAATTATTTTTCTTTACCTGAGAATGAATATAAACTAGAAAGAATAATGATTATATGTGACTAGAAGCCCGGTGCACGAAATTCATGCACAGATAGGGTCCCTAGGCCTGGCCAGTGATCAAGGCCGATCTGTGGGGCAATTGGGGGGCCCCCACTGGCACCCGCCTTGGCTGGCCTGCATTGAGCATCTGCCCCCTGGTGGTCAGTGTGCGTCATAGCGATCTGTTGTTCTGCCAGTCATTCTGCTGTTTGGTCAATTTGCATATTAGGCTTTTATTATATAGGATATTAAGCCTCTTTGAGTTATATAGAACTTTAAAAATAATATATGAATATAGAAGGACCAACTAAGATGGTCTAGTTAGAAATAATTTTATGACCTATAGTAAAGTGAAAATGAAAAAGTAAAACTCTGTTTTCTAAGCTGTAAAAACCAAGACAATAATCTTTCAAACCTTTCCTGGCATATTTCTATAGCCGGAGTAGGAAATAAAAATAATGTGATTATCAAATTTTTATAGTAAAGATATTTCAACCAATTCAGTTTCATGAGGTAATGTTAGAATTGAATTTTAACCTTCAGATTTCAAAACAACTTACTTAAAGTTTAACATAGTGAAAACCCAATAAATCCATAGAAACTATACCATTATGTTAAGAAGAATGAAATGAACTTTCATACGGCACTCCAGTGAGAAATGATGTCAGACTTCAAAATGAAGTACAGTGTTAGTGGAAAATTACATTGCCATTTAGGAAAGTAGAAAAATTTTTAAAAATGTACATTAGCAAATTTGAATTCTGATTAAAGCATGGACCTTATTTTTATTATTTGTTTCATGAATATTAATTAGCATAGATAATAAAATATAACTAAAATCAAGTAGGAAATAACTATTCTCAATTGTAGACATGTAATCTACTGTTTGCAAAGTGAAAAAAATAGTACCTATATAAGTGAGACTACTTTATAAAGGAGAGGCTATCTATATGTAATAGGATGACACTTATTAATTCAAATCATAGATCATAGTTCACCACCCTGATTGTTAGTAAAGAAATGGAGGTGCTGAGAGATGGTTGCTCATTTAAGGTTACACAGCTGGTTTGTGACAAAATTGAGGCCCCAGACCTGGCATTTTTTGAAAACTTGATATGGAAATTCCAAGCAGTCTATATTTTGATACAACAAAATACAACTTCAGCTATTAAAAAAAAGCTTAAGGGAGACATCTGTAATAGTGTCACAATTTTAAAAAAAAAAGAAAGTTGGAGGATTAACAAGAAAAAAAGTAGCTTAGAAACTAGTCAATTTGCATTGTTAGGAAAAATTATGTATAGCAAATTAATTTTATTTTCATGAACTTTTAAAGAACATTTTGATGAAAACACTGGTAAAAAGCAGACTTGTAGGAATAAAGCATATAAACACTATATAAAACTCACAAACAAATGCAAAAGTCAAAACCTTGTAACAGAAGAGTTAAGTATTTTTTAGGTTATAAGCCTATAACTATAAAAGGAAAAAGAGTTATCTATTAAATGTTATTTTGACTTTCTTCTGCTTTTTAATTATAAAAATTTAGAATGTATCTGAATTTCTTATGAATTTTATGAAAGGTTGAATCCCAGAAAGTACTGCAAATAATTTTTCTTTCCATATATATGACTTTAGTGTCAAATCTGCTTCTCGAATTCTCTATCCAGCTTGATTTAATATAATCTAGCCTCTGAATAAAAGACTATTTGTGATATTTGTGCCTTAACTCTAAAAATCCAGAAATCCAGCTCTTCAAACAAATATTTTCCTGCCTACTTTTAAGTTTTTGTTTGTGTGTGTGTGTGTGTGTGTGTGTGTGTGTGTGTGTATTTTTTTCTGATTGTTCATGCATTATATTTAGGGGAACATTTTTTTTTTTTTGGTCATAATCACCATAGGTACCAATCACAAATTTACCATTATTTGTAGTTTTATAGAATAGTGGCATATAATATTTTCAAAATTAACTTTTTAAAAAGACCTCCTTTCTGAGAGAAATGTAAATTGGACTACGAATTTCTCATAGTTTTAAAACCTGATCTTGTGCTTTATAAAATCTAAGTATATTTTGACAGCATTATTCTATAACCTGAAATTAACTGAAGAGATCATATTTTGTGTGATGTGGTTGAGATAATGTAAGGAGTGAAAACGTTTTATGTTTCATGAATTATTGAGTTTGTTTCTGGTTGATTTCAGATATTCTTAGTTTTTGTGTCTTAAGATTTTTATACATCTATAATATATATATTTTCTGAGAACATGTAAATCTACTAAAATAGTATTTCATTTTCAGGCCATTTTCTCAGTGTGGCAGCTTTACTTCAGGCTCAAATCAGTGGTAGATGAATTACTAGTACCTATATTTCTTTTACTTTTAATGATAAATTCAGAAAGGATGATTAACCAGGAAAATAATTAAATATTAAAAGTTATTTAGTTTTAAGCTGGTAAAACAAATAAAACTGAATAATTATGTGCTATGCTCAGTCTATGTTAAATTTAAAAATAAAGCTAAAGGAATAAAATGTATTATACAGTTTCTTAAAGCAGAGCATCTATATGCTGCTAATACAGATATCAATTTTTATTTGTGTGACTTTGTTTAAAAATAAGATGTACATACGTAGGTTAAAGATGAACTCTACTTATGTGTGGCCTTAGAGTCTGCTATAATTTAACAAAAAGGGTTTGAGCAGGTGGGTGAGTTTATTTGACTGATAATATTTTATAATCACTGAAATTCTTAATTAGTGATCCCACTTTTCTTATGTAAAGTTTTTATTTATCTCAGGTTTATATAGACATAGCTATAGTGATTGTTAAGATGAAGAAAGGTACTATCTATATTTAAAAGCTTTGACAACAGAGGCAGAAAATAATAGTAGAGGTATACTCAAGTGTGCTAAGTCCTACAGAACTTTATTATAACATAATACTAGAAGAAAATTTTTGAATATTTCTGAAATACTAGTTTTCAGATTCCTAACAGTTGGAATTAATTGTACACGTGCATATATGTATAATATGTGAAAAAATATGCAACAGATTTTCGATTATTTTATTAGATTATAAGCTTAAGCTTGTTTCTTTAATTCTTGCTTTATTTTCATATCATGCTAGTCCTTTGCTTATTTTGCACATTTGCGTTTTCATTCTTTTACCACCTTTCCCTTATGTTTTAATCTGCCCCATTTTTTCACATGACAGGAAAAAGCCCGATCATATCAGGTACCAAATGGCTTTCTTCCCCTCACCCCCTACCTTACTCCAATTTCTTCTTTGGCACGAGAAAGCTCATAATTAACCTGCATTTTGTTTGGATTACTTGCAATGGATATACAGTCTCTTATGTTTTAATTGGTAAGAAAATGTAAACATCTTATTTGAGGATCGAAATTATACCTTTTCATTGTCTATGTCCTCAATTTCTTTAATCTGGAAAAGAACATATGATGTGTTTATAGTTACTCAAAGAAGATTATACATTGAGTAATATGATTGATTGATTGATTAATTTATTTATTTATTTATTTATTTAAGGGAAATAAACAATAACTAGGAATTAGTCCCTTTGGTAATAACCAGATTGGTTTTGTTGAAAGGAAACACTGTCAGTTCTTAGATTTTTTTTTTACCATTTTGTTTTTTTCCCTGTGAAAAATAAAATTGATTTTGAAATAAAAGAGCATAAATGTTCAAGCTTTTAATTTCGTTAAATGTTCAACTGTTTGACACCTTTATGAATGTGTGCATGAATCCATTACCTGTATAATTTTAGTGAAAAAGCTTCTACCAGTTTAGAAGTTTGACTTTTACCCACGTTCTTGATTTCAAGTACAATTCTGGGGATAGTGGCCAAATAGGGTAAAAGATACTTGATTTATATTTATTTATTTTTTGTTAATCCTCACCTGAGGATATTTTTTGTATTAATTTTTTAGAGAGACTGAAAGAGAGGGAGGGAGGCATTGGTGGGAGGGGGGCAGGAGGGAGAGGGAGAGGGAGAGAGAGAGAGAGAGAGAGAGAGAGAGAGAGAGAGAGGAGAGAGAGAAAAGGAGACACAGCAAATTGGTTGCCTCTTGCACTTGCCCCTAGGGGCCCAGGATTGAACCTGTAATCCAGGTACAATCCCTTGACTGGGAATTGAACTGAGACCGTTTGGTACTCCGGCCAATGCTCTAACACTGAGCCACACTGGCCAGGGCTTGATTTATTTTTTTAAAATATATTTCCCTTTCCCCCAATTTTGTCATCTGGAAAGCTCTCATTGGTCTTTACAATTTAATAATATTTATGGATATAATATTTTGGTCTCAAGTCTTTATTATATTGAGTTACTCCAATTTGAGAGAGATATAAAATTGTGTTTTATTGCCGAAACCGGTTTGGCTCAATGGATGGAGCGTCGGCCTGCGGACTGAAGGGTCCCGGGTTCGATTCCGGTCAAGGGCATGTACCTGGGTTGCGGGCACATCCCCAGTGGGAGATGTGCAGGAGGCAGCTGATCGATGTTTCTCTCTCATCGATGTTTCTGACTCTCTGTCTCTCTCCCTTCCTCTCTGTAAAAAATCAATAAAATATATATTTTTTTAAAAATTGTGTTTTATTTTTCTTAATGAACCAAGAAATTTTCCTTTTTAAAACACTGTCTTTTATTTTGGCTTTGGGACAGCTTCTGAATAGAATATAGTGTAATTATCAGTACAGTGCTTTCCAAAATTTGTCTTTTTTATTATTTAATTACCTTTTTAAAGTACCTTCAAATTGCAGATAGCGTGAGCTTAAAATATTAAGTATTTTTCTATATCCTAGAGGGATATGTGAACTATCTCATTCTCCTTTTAATAAAAATGTTAATAATAACTAAGAAGCAATTAAAAATTTTATTCCATTTTACTTACCTAGTTAATGTCTTGGATCAATGTAAATGAGTACAGTCAGCTCCTTTTCCCTTATTTTTTAATGGTAGAGGAGGGGAGATGGTGTCATAAGATACACAAATCTTAGTAATTGAAAATTTTTTCTACCTAGCATACATTGTGGTTTTATTCCTTAGGAGGTGTTGCCAAATTCAGATGAATTTATAGTGTTTTTCCTGAGTGCACAAAAACTGATATGAGAAAGTCACCAGAAACAGAAAGATGACAGGAGAACTAAGTTTCAGAAGTATGTATCTTCTGTAAAGTTCATAACCAGAGGAAATGATCTCTGACAAAAAAACATGTTTTTATCTAATGTTTTGTTATTATTTCTAGAGGTTATGATCCTAAGATACAGCAGGTCAAAATAAATTTGTTTTTTGAAGACTAAGAAGCATGAAAAGCTTACATAGTTGTATGGCTGTTTTTCCTTTGTGGTAGGCTACTTATTTTTCTATGTAGTTTTTCATCAAGTTATATAATACTAGAGGCCCAGTGCACTAAATTTGTGCATGGGCAGGGTCCCCTAGGCCTGGCTGGCAATCAGGGCCGATCGGGGCCTTCAGTGCTGGTCGGGGCCTTCCTTCTCCGGCTGCTGGCTGCCGGCCTGGGCCTTCCTTCATTCTGTGCCACCCCGAGGTGGTCAGCACACGACATAGCGAGCCATCGAACTCCTGGCCTCCCGGTTGAACTCCCGAGGGGACACTTTGTATATTAGCCTTTTATATATATAGATGATTACCATGAAACATACGAATTTTTATTAATATAGTTTATACTACCTCATATGATTTTTTTAAAAACTCTTCAATCAGTAGCAGAGATTATTTCCATTGCATGTCATCCCATGTGGCAGGGCTGCACCATTTTGTTTGTTTGTAGGTATTTCCTTTAACATTTCTAACCATGTGTCCCAAAGCAAAGAAACCCAGAAGTTCTTCCTTTTCTAGCCTGCCTCTTGATGATTTGCATTTAGAGGCAACCCACTTGGTTTTATCTAGATGCTAATTTAACAAATCTCTATTAATGGTAAAGGTGATACCTTTTTAAAGTAGCAAGAAAACCTAACAATCTGTCTAGCTTAAAATTAGAAAATCATTTCCTCAGCTTTGGAGAATTAATTTTTAAAAATAGAAATTCTAAATATGTCTAAATACAATTTCTAATGCCTTTTTTTTAGTATCAATGAAAAGGTAGAATCTCTATCTGCTAATAGATTAATAACTAATGTTTACAATAGAAATCATCTCACATGAAACTAATTTTAAAATAATGACTCAAATGTTTTACCTTTCATGCTTGATGAGAATTTTTGCTTTTATGAATGGCTTTTGGCTGTGATTTTTTTTTTGTAAGTCTTTAGGTTCTTTTACTGTTTCAATAGATTAGAATTAGTAAATATGCCATAAGTAGCTTAGCTTTGTCTTCTAAAGAAGATTGCAAGTAAATTTTTTGCCTAATAATTTACAGTAATGAGCAGAACAATATAAATATTTGGATGAAACATTTTTAATAATAACTTATTCTGTTTCTATGATTATATGAAAGTAGGCCAAGTGAATTGGCAGTTTTTTCTTGTTTGATAGCAATTGTAAAATGATGATTTAATTTTCTGTTTTGCTTACCATTACTAAATCACTTGCTGAATTAGCTGCAGAAAGGTTGAAACAAAGCACCATTTATTTCAATGTTTTAATGTATACAAATACATAGTCTTATTTACAATATAAATTTATTTCCACTTTATAATAAAAGCAATTATTTGGGGGGGGGAAAGATTTTGGTTATTTTGAGGAACCTCAAAAAAATCTTTTACTTTAAAAAACAATTATTATTTGATGATAGCATAAAAGGTAGCTTTTGTTAGGATTTAAATTTCTGACTTAAAATGAATCAAAATATAGTAATTTTACTTTCCTAATCTGTCTTGTTAAAATTGTTTAAAATTGTTCTTTACTTTCAATAGTTATTTTATTGGCATCAATTTATATAAAGCAAAACAAAACAATGTACTTCTCAAAACATAATTATCATAAACTGATTTTCTAGTGCTTTCCCAAATATTTTGTTCCTAACAACAACTGAATTAAAATGTGTTGGTGAAAACTTAATCTATTTTGTATTTATTTAGACGCTGGTTTTCAATACAGAACAATCAGTTGGTTTACCAGAAAAAGTTTAAGGTAGGTGTTTTATTAAGTAATTAAGTGAAAAATCTAGTGACTCCCCAGTTTTGGTTATTTATCTGTTTGCTTTGGGAAAGTATTTAAGTTCATAAATACTCATCTGTGCAAAATTACTGTTAATTTATTTTGTTTGGGCATGTATACTAGTAAGAATGTTTAGAAGTGGAAAGTATCCACATTCGATTCTTAAAAGCAGTGATTTTGAATCCCGAATTCTTAATTCCTAGCTTTGAGATGGATTTTTTGTCCTGTCTCAGGATTGACACTCTTTTACTTCACATGTTTCTTTGTCTATTTGTGTGACAAGAATAATACAACCACTCCACAAGTACTATTCTGAGGCTGTAGAAAAAAATGCATTTTAAGAAATAACACCTTATGGCCACTGATGATAATATAGATATTAGAAATGACATTAAAATGTTACCTTGAAGTAAGTTAAATAAAAACCTCTAAATTTGTTAATGTTCTTTTTATATATTCATTTTCCTGAACCTTATTTTAAGGGTGAGGAGTTTTTATTTATTAGAAAGGCATACAGAAATTACAGGTGGCGTGAGAATGTGACAACTCACTTCCCTCCCAAGTAATGTCCAAACATGCTATCTTTACCTCTTTGGACATCTCCTGCTGAAGGCACTGATCCTTGTCCCCTCTCCACTGTACCTTGACTTCTCTGCCCTCCCTCTCCTGTCACCAACCTTGTTGGTGTTCACTCAGAATACTACAGTTGCAGGTGACAGTGGCCCAGGAGAAATTATGGGAAGTTTGCTCTATGTGGAAGGAGGATAATGAAATGGTTTGTAGACACCATTCAAAGCGTTGAAGATTTTATTCCTTCAACTTGTATAGATGTTGATGCTCACAGCTTTTTCTTTTTCTTTTTGTTCTGAAGGTTCTGGTAACTTGTGGTGTATTTCTTTCTATTTCCCTGTGACCGTCTTTTTTCTTTTCTTTTCTCCTTTTCCCTTGCTCTGTCTCTTCTCACTATGCACAAATAAACATTACCTACAAACTCCTTAATCTGATCTGTGAAGAATGTAGAGTTTAAACACATGAATAAATACTTTAAATCCCACCCCCTCCAATTTGGAAAAAAAGAACCATAGTTAATTGGTGACTTGATTTTTACCCACTTAGCTTTTATGAATGATGTATTCAATTGTAAATTTGAAATACTCACTTTACTCTTGAGATGACACAATATGAAATTTCTAATTAGCTCATGGTTTCTTCTATTCTAATACTTGGTTTTGAGTATTTTTTTTTTAATTAAATACTAGGAAATGATAAAACCTTTCTCATTTTCATTGGTATTTTAAGAAGGATATATAGGCTTCTTATTTTTTTCTTTCCAATTATTTAAAACTTGACTCATTAAAGACTTCTGTTTTTGGAGGAAAGTAGTTTTTATTATATGTGAGTAGGGACCAGGAGCGTAATGGATATGAAAGAAAATTAATAGGAAGCTGACATTTATTGAGTACCTACTAACTAATTGCCAAGTGTTGGATTAAAACTATTTTATTTAAGTTTTATACAGCAATTTTATGAGGCAGGTAAAATTATTAACAGGGTATAATTACCTTTATTAGTTATATCTATGTTGATAAGTCCTATCTCTAAATTAAGAAAAATATAAATCTTTAAGACCACTTATTCCAAGGAATATTTTTAAGTATTATTGGTAGTAGTATTTAAAACCTAGATTGATAAATATGGGAGTTCTGTTTTCTTATTGTAGGATAACCCCACTGTGGTAGTGGAAGATCTAAGGCTTTGCACAGTGAAACATTGTGAAGACATAGAACGGCGATTCTGCTTTGAGGTGGTCTCTCCAACCAAGTGAGTGGTTCTAAACAATTGAGAGTTGCTTTTATGTTTCTATAGCTTGTTTTAAAAGAACTTTCCAGAGTAGAGAAAGATTTGTTTCACTTGTGGTGGTCTGTGCTAACTAGAAAAAAGTGTCTTAAAAGTAAATTTCATTGTTTAGTGATTACAGGTATTAGAGTCAGAAATTTCTGTAACTTCTACCCAGTATCATATTCTTTAAATTCTATAAAGATTATTGATGTGGCCATATGAAAACTTTTTAGTTGTCATGGATGATAAAGTGAACTCATATATCAGATTGATTTTTTTATAACTATCATTTTATATTTCTACCCAATAGAAAAAAAAGTGTTATATTTATATGGTAAATTTAAAGTTTGTGTTTTTTTGTGGTTTTTTTTTTAATGTGAAGGAATGGGTGATTTCTTTCCAGTAGGTAACTTATTTCATTAATATCTTGATTTCTTATTGAATACAATCTGTCCTAAAGATAGATGAAATAAAAATCGTTCAACAGAAATGATTATTTTTTGTTAGAAAATTATTCTATAACAAAGTCAGCAAAAAAGTAAACATTATTATTCTTTTTTTGGTTAATTTAGTGACTGAGAAAACAATGTTATTTCCCTTTAGAAGTTGTATGCTTCAGGCAGATTCTGAAAAGCTGCGCCAGGCATGGATTAAGGCTGTTCAGACCAGTATTGCTACTGCTTATAGAGAGAAGGGTGATGAATCAGAGGTTAGTAAACAATACTGCAATACTAGATGATATATTGCCAAAAGTTTTTAACTTTAATTGCAACCTTGTATGATTCTAACATTCTTTAAGTTTTGTTAAATTGAGGTATAATTGACAAGTAGCTTTATATTAGTTTCAGGCATACAATGTAATGATTTAATATTTGTATATACTACAAAATGATCACCACAGTAAGTCCAGTTAACATCTGTCACCATACATAGTAACAAACATTTTTTTCTTAGGAGGAGATTTTAACATTTACTCCCTTAGAATTTTTCAAATATGCTACATAGTGTTATTAACCATAGTCACCACACTGTATATAATATCTTCATGACTTAATTACTTTATAACTTGGAGTTTGTATCTTTTGACTCCCTTCACCCATAACATTCTTTTTTTTATGGAGGATGATTTTTTTCATAATTGAAACGTTATTTTTAAAATCTAGACTCAGTTTCTCTTTTGTTTACTTGACTTTACCTGTCTTTTTATTTTAATATTTAAATATGTTTAATTCTGTATTTGAATATTGTCCCAGATTGACAGAAGATGGTCTGATGCAAATATTTCCTCCAAATATTATTTTAATTAATAATAAAATAATGAATGTGAAAGGTATTTAAAATTAAAACTGGGTAAAATCTAAAACAGGAAGACTCAAATTGTCTCTTAGTTGAAATCTTCCTGGAGAAGATAAGCTTAATATGGACTTTTGGGTCATAGTCTGGCTTCAGCTACTCAGTGAGTTTATATATTCTTGAGCAAGGCCATCAGTGCGACTTGAGAAACGGAACTCACTGCTTTGGTAGGATCCTGAAAATGAGTCTTTTGTGAGTCCATGCATGTCTGAAAGTGTCTTTATTCCGTCATCATACTTGTTTGATAGCTTGGTTGGGTGTGGAATTTTTAGGTTGGAAATAATTATTCTTAATTTTAACTGCATTGTTTTTTTTTTGGTTCCAGTGTTGCCATTGGAGTCTTTCTTATTACAGTACTATCTTTTGTAGCCTTCTTCTCCAATTCTCCTGTTTGTTTTTCCTGGAATTTCTGAACTAATCTTATGATTTTCTAATTTTTGTGTGTCTTTTTGCTCTAATTTCTGAGATATTTTCTCTATTGACTATTTCCGTTCTGGTAGCATGTATTTAATTTAACCATAGTTACAACACTATCTAGTATATCATCATGACATATTTATTTTATGACTTGGAGTTTGTATCTTTTGACTCCCGTCACCCATAACTAGAGTTTCTTTCTGTTTGCTGACTGCTTATACATGTAAACCTGTTCTTTTTTCATGGCTGCATTGTTTGAACTGTGGTTCTTAGCCTCGACTGCGCATTATGATAACACGGGGAGCTTTAAAAAAATAAGTCTCAGCATCAAACAGACTGTCAAACTACAGCGGGAAGGCCGGGGAGGGTTGAGGGGGCGGGGTGTTGCTACATAGTGTTATTAACCATAGTCACCACACTGTATATAATATCTTCATGACTTAATTACTTTATAACTTGGAGTTTGTATCTTTTGACTCCCTTCACCCATAACATTCTTTTTTTTATGGAGGATGATTTTTTTCATAATTGAAACGTTATTTTTAAAATCTAGACTCAGTTTCTCTTTTGTTTACTTGACTTTACCTGTCTTTTTATTTTAATATTTAAATATGTTTAATTCTGTATTTGAATATTGTCCCAGATTGACAGAAGATGGTCTGATGCAAATATTTCCTCCAAATATTATTTTAATTAATAATAAAATAATGAATGTGAAAGGTATTTAAAATTAAAACTGGGTAAAATCTAAAACAGGAAGACTCAAATTGTCTCTTAGTTGAAATCTTCCTGGAGAAGATAAGCTTAAAATGGACTTTTGGGTCATAGTCTGGCTTCAGCTTCTCAGTGAGTTTATATATTCTTGAGCAAGGCCATCAGTGCGACTTGAGAAACGGAACTCACTGCTTTGGTAGGATCCTGAAAATGAGTCTTTTGTGAGTCCATGCATGTCTGAAAGTGTCTTTATTCCGTCATCATACTTGTTTGATAGCTTGGTTGGGTGTGGAATTTTTAGGTTGGAAATAATTATTCTTAATTTTAACTGCATTGTTTTTTTTTTGGTTCCAGTGTTGCCATTGGAGTCTTTCTTATTACAGTACTATCTTTTGTAGCCTTCTTCTCCAATTCTCCTGTTTGTTTTTCCTGGAATTTCTGAACTAATCTTATGATTTTCTAATTTTTGTGTGTCTTTTTGCTCTAATTTCTGAGATATTTTCTCTATTGACTATTTCCGTTCTGGTAGCATGTATTTAATTTAACCATAGTTACAACACTAGTATATCGTCATGACATATTTATTTTATGACTTGGAGTTTGTATCTTTTGACTCCCGTCACCCATAACTAGAGTTTCTTTCTGTTTGCTGACTGCTTATACATGTAAACCTGTTCTTTTTTCATGGCTGCATTGTTTGAACTGTGGTTCTTAGCCTCAACTGCACATTATGATAACACGGGGAGCTTTAAAAAAATAAGTCTCAACATCAAACAGACTGTCAAACTACAGCGGGAAGGCCGGGGAGGGTTGAGGGGGCGGGGTGTAAGAGATCAACCAAAGGACGCATATGCAAGCATATAAGCATAACCAATGGACACAAGACACTGGTGGGTAGGGGAGGCCAGGGGAAGGTCAAGGGAAAAATCAGAATTAGAGTCTACCACTGAACAGTTGAATGGAGTTGGGACCCAGGTATCAATATTTTAAAAAGATTCCTAGGTGATTTCTGTATACATGCATTGTTGAGAACCATTATGTTCTAGAGCAAGCATGTCAAACTCGCTGCCCGTGGACCACATGCCTCGTTTATCTGGCCCGTGATGGCCTTTGAGTTTGACATGCTTTTAGAGGCGTGGTTCCTTGGCTGTCTGGTAAACCTGCTCATGATTATATGGTAGCTAAAAACCTCTTTGGAAGCTCTGAGAACAGTTAGGACTTTGTTGACTGTGAGCTTTGCTGAAGTCTGGACCATTTATTTTTTTGAGGAACAACCAGAGTTAGGAACTTTGGGGTCTTTTCACCTGGTATGATTCCCCAGAGAACATTCACCAACCTCCAGCATAGGGGTAAGGGACTGACTGGGAGCTCATTACTGGGGGTCTCAACATTCAGTGTGTATTCGTTCATTTAGTCCTCTGCCTTCCATCTTTCGGGTAAGTCCCTTCCAGATACTCTGATTTACTTCACCAGAGAATGTACTTTCAGTCACTTGTGTTTATGAATAGGGAGCAGAACCCTAATGGCATGAAATTGGGGAGGGGACCTTGGATGCTAACTGCTTCTTACACAATCATTTCTCCAACTTTTATCCCCACTTCCAGGGTTAACATAATATAAATCAGTGATTTTTAGTCTGTGTGTGACAAGAATTTTTAAATCATGCAATACCTTACTATTTAGTCAGGGACACTGACCTCTTTTCCCTTAGATTGTTAAATTAAAAAAACAACAACAACAACAACAACAAAAAACAGTAACAACCAACACAATAGCCTGACTCAAAATTATACCTATTTTTTTTTTCAGATCTGCAAAAAAAAATGTAATCTTTGGTGTCCTACAGAATTTTAATAATTAGTTTATCTGTGCCATGATATGAAAAAGGTTGAAAAATCACCGGTTTAAATCCTTGAGCCCTTTGAATATTATGTCATGTAAATTGGTGAACTCTTGAGATCTGCCACAGAGAATTCCCCATGAAGCTCCAAACCTGTCTTCCCAGAAAGAAAACACAGATCGTATCCCGAACCCCAAAACGTGGTGGATAAAGCCACGTGGTGCCCAGCGGTCGGGGGAGAGGGCAGAGGCAGGAGGAGGGAGAAAACCACCCCCAGCCTGCCTTTTTTTTACTACCACCCTTAGATTTGGCCTTGGTCTGTTCAGTTACTTTATTTACCCATTTTCCAGCTCCTAAAGTTTTGTTGCTCTTATTTATGTTATTCCTGTTCTTATGGGTAAACATTGTTTTTAATGAAAAAAAAGTTTTTAAAAAGTAGATTACACATATTATGCCATTCCACACCTAATAGTAATTTCTTAATATCATCTGTCACCCAGTCTATATTCAGATGTTCCCAGTTGTCTTAAAAATGTTACTGACAACCTTTTGTACAAAGTAGGATCTTACCTATGCTGGCATTGCATCTGGTTATGTCCCTCAGATCTTTCAATCTAGAACAATCCCTTTTTTACATGGCAATGATTTACTAAAGAGACCAGGTTAATTGTTTCCATGCCTTAAGATTACATAATGGGTGGTGCGTATGCTTCATGTTGCAACAGGAGACACAATATTTGGTTATGCAACCATTGCTAATCCTGAGATCAGGCTTCTGTGTGAAGATGAAATGGACATACTGGATTTGAGAAGTGACAATGTGATTCCTCCAAATGACAATGTGATTCCTCCATTTTCTCCCTTGTTTCCATTCTGTTTTGTTATTTTGTATAACACATCTACTTCCTGTTACTTTCACCCTCATAAAATCTCCCCCATCAACTATTCATCAAATGGTTTTACAGCTGAGTTTGCTATTTCTTTTTTTTTTCTGTTCTTTTTTTTAAAATTAAATCTTTATTGTCCAGATTATTACAGTTGTTCCTCTTTTTCCCCCCCATAGCTCCCCTCCACCCGTT